TACACATACATACATACATACATACCTACCGAAATTTTTCTGAATGTGATTTTTGGACGTTTTGGAACATTTTAAACATGTTTTCAAAGAAAACTGGAAAACAATTTTTTCACGAAACAATTCAAAAGCACATAACTCCGAAAGTACCCAACGAAAATATAATGTATTATAGTGTTTTGGAAAGCTCTTGAGGTAAGCTATAAGAATATGCATTAAAAAAATGGGTTTCAAATTAAAAATTTCAGGATGATCTTTACGTGACCTTGAGGAAGCTTTTCAAGGTCATATTTATATTACTATGTAATGCAGTACTTGGAACCGTACAACTTTTATGCTAAACATTTTTTTCCATCATGTATATTTAAAAAGTTATTTAGAGTTACCTTATAAGGATACATACAGACATACACACATACATAACGACATTTTTTCTGAATGTGATTTTTGGACGTTTTGGAACATTCTAAACATGTTTTCAAAGAAAACTGGAAAAAAATTTTTTTCGCGAAAACAAAGCTTCCTCTATGAGGAAGCAAAAACAATTATTTCAAATTTATCTTCTATGTATTTACTATGTTGCTACAAAGCTAAGAACACAGATATAACAATCTCTTTAATTATATTCCAGGAGCAATACAATACGTTACACGAGCTTAGTTGGAACATCATGCTCGTTTATTGCCCTGATGTCATTACTCACTGATTTCAGGCATAATAGATTAACGTATAGAGAATGGGTACCGTACAATTATTCGTCTTACATAACTTACTATTTAACATACGCTCAGCAAATGATAAGTACTTTCCACTGCGCTAGTGTGAATGTCGCTTGCGATACTCTTTTTTGTGGTTTTTTAATGCACATATGTTGCCAGATAGAAATCTTGGAATATCGCTTAAAGAATATCTTAAGCAATCAATTTACTCTGGGCTACTGCGTACATCATCACAACCGAATTTTACAGTTAGTTATCATATTAACATTGGAAAATTATATATTATTTGACAGTGCTATTGTATGTATTACTTAGCAAAATCTTGATAAAAATCATACTCCTCTTTCTACTTTTTCATTCTCATGTTTTATGATTTCAAAAAATTGTAAGATTATATGTATACTAAACCAAAATAACAAGATGCTTTATACAATCTCTAAGATATGTAGAGACTACTTTTACTGATTGTTAGAGGAAAGGGTGATAATACGGAACCCTATTTTATTTTTAAGCGATTTCTTACATTATAAGTTTAATTTTTTCAAACCTGGTATGTTTAACTACACGTATCTAGAAATTTTGTAATAATTCGTAATATTACAAATAAAAATGAAATTTATTATTTATGACAGTGTAAATATAATTATTTTTATGTTCAAGTGCCACCGTGCTCTAACACCAAGAATTGTATTACAGATATGCGCAAGTAGTGAATATGAGATTTACATCAATAATCGGATTTCAGTTTATGGCAAGTATGATGGTAATCTGCAGCACTTTGTATCAATTAACCAAGTCGGCTTTGAGTACAAACCATGTGCCATTAATTATGTATTCAAGTTGCATGCTGACGCAAATATTTATTTATTGCTGGTTTGGAAATAAAGTCAAATCAAAGGTATATCTAATAAAACAAATAGTTAAAGACATTAAATAAAATATTTGACATGTTGTTTTATAGAGCCTCCAACTAACGGACAGTATTTTTCACATGGAGTGGCCAATTCTAGACAATAGCAATAAAAAGGGCCTCTTGGTAATTATGAAGCGCGCGATAACACCCATTGAAATTTCTACAGTGTATATTCTGACAATAAACTTGGATTCTTTTGTGTCGGTTAGTATAAAAACTTTATCTTAATGTAACTAAAACAACCAACTTGAATAATTATTTAATGACTTTCTCAAGTCTGATTTCAGTTATTCATATAGGTCCACTTGATGCTGCAAATGCTTTGAAGTATTCTCCTTATTCCTTTTAAAGAAAGAAGGGAAAGAAAAAGGCATTGAAGCATTGTAGCATTAAGGGACCGTAGTCATAATATATGTCATACGAGGGTGGGTTGAAAAGTTTTGAGCCTAACATAGAAATAATTTTTTTTCGGTCAAACTCACTTTTCTCCTCCGAGCCAAACTTTGAGTTTAGGAAACCGAAAAAGTCACTGGGGGCTAGATCTGGTGAATACGGGGGGGGGGGGATTAACATCCACTGACACAAACGACTGTCGTACAACAACTAAGAATCCGAAATGGCTGAAATTTTCAGAGGTGTCCTTCAAAGCACGTACAGTCGCAGTACTGAAGTGGCGACGACAAATAATGCCGTCTGCATATTGAGGCTCAGAACTTTTCAACCCATCCTCGTATATTCAAAGAATAAAATATGTTCTATTAAATAAGTTAGAAATGTGTTTATATTTATAAATAATTTATAAGTTGCTAATATTACTGTTTATTTACTTATAATAATTTAAAATATTTTTTAACATTTCAGTTGCTTAAAACATCATATTCTGTTTATAATTTATTAGGACGAGTGCAATAAAAATTGCGAAATAAATAAATCAAAATGCTTTTCTCTGTTCATTTCATAAGATTAAAGAATGATAATAAGATAACTGTTGTTGATAGTAATCCTAACATGTAATACTTGACATGTACTATCTAATACTTAACTATGTAATACTTAACAGCTATTTAATATTTCAGCTTTTCATATTAAAAGTGTTTTTGCATATCGAAAGAAAAAAGATATTAAAGTTTGATATTAGTATTAAACTTTTATACCTTAACATAAGTAAAATATATACAAATTTTGTATTTATAATTTTAAAATCTTACATAAATGTATTATTTAAAAAAATGTTTCAATGACTTTATTTTATACAGCGTGATTAGAAAAATTGTAAAAAGAATCATATAGTACCATTAATGAAACAAAAATAATGCATAATGCATAATACATATTATGGCACATAAAAACATAAGAAAAATTTAACGTTGTATACCTCGTATATAGCATTCACATATAATTTACTTCAATATTTTTATTCGTGATTGAACAGACATGACAAGAATCATATTGTTAAAAAAACTGAAATGTCATTATAGGATATGAAAATATAACATTAGAGAAATTTAGACATTATTAAATCTTTTTGTTTGACTATATAGTCTTACAAATGTATACCTATACAGGGTGTCTGATGCAAAAGTAGCA